TCGTGGACCCCGTTGATTATTCGGTATGTGTTTATTGAGACTTGTGTGGGTGCTAGCCCGGTACGACGCAAGAATTCGGTCATCAATGGGTTGACCGGGAAGCAGAGGCCTCCTTCAAAGATGGATAGCATAGTGAAGGGGCATTGGTCTAATCTGCCCCAAGGGTTAATGTCTAAGGCGTCGAGCTCTAATTGAACGTCAGCCAGAATACCATACTCTTCCCGAAATGCGGCCAAGGCAGCCGGAGTGTCAACGAGGAAGCGGTAGCGCCCCATGTGTCGTCGGCTAGTTTAGCTTGGCTGAGATGGTTAGGCAGACTGGTGTTTGATGGCTGCTCGGTCTTTGAGAGCCACAGTATTTGGTCTGTGGTCCCCTTGGACTCTGCAGGAAAATGATGGCAAGTGTAAGTGGAAGTGCAGTCGTGCAAAACGAGCTTGACTTTAGCTCGGTCATGAAGAGTGCCAGACCACCTCGGTCGCAAAGGCAAACCGAGGAGCTCGGTCGCTCAAGCGGACCTGTTATTAGCCCCGGTCGAGCGGCCAAGTCCTCTGTTTACCTCGGTTTCTACTAAGGTTTTGGCAAACTTGTAAGTTGCTTAGTCTTAATGTTATTTGGGATCAAAAGAAGACCTGGAGCCCGGTCCGCTCCAAATCTTCATGTGTTCATGTGTTCATCACTGGGATTGAAGAACAACGAAGAGAATAGGGGCAAGTAAGGGTTTTTTGAGGGGTATATCGTAAAACCTATGGATTTTGTGCCCTAGAATGTGAAATACCAAGTGAAAATAGCAAAAAGGGGCCCGAAGGACTTACCAGTTAAGGGCAGAAGCTTCTCCTTCGGATACGAACTTAGGAATGGCAAGAAAGGAAGGGTGCTGAAGTTCTGGAACGTCGATAGCTTGAGGAAAGTCAGTAAGATTGAAAGGAAGTGAGATATGGCATGTTTATAGAGGTGAAAAGGCTGCCCAAATTTGAATGTGAAGGGACGTGATGGTTGGCTGCTCGAGGCCAATCCAGGCACGACACGTGTCCCTATTGATGGCGGCGTCAGTACTGAAGAAACGGGATGGCAAATCGACGCGTCAACTGGGCAAGTTTTGAAGACATGCATGTCAACTAGCCCGGCCATCGTCTTGCAAACTGAGGACCGACGAAGAGTTACCCCGGTCAGAACAGGTAATCCCAGTCACGCTTGCGCGGACGGAATTAAGGGGCAATTGAGAGGGAAATTTATGAGCTGGATTGGGCCGTGGTAATGACCGAGCAGATTATGGACCGAACATGTTGTGGGCCGTGGTAGCTTGGGCTTAGCCGGAGAGGGTTGTGCTCGGTCCTGTTTCCATGGTTCGCGCTTCCAGCCTGGCTGGAAAGGTCTTCGATTTACCAGCTCGACCAATTTTCAGCTCGGCTATATCGGAATGCAACCGAGCTCGGTCGTCGTTGAGCTCGGCGAGCGGAGCGCTCTAGCTTGTTGTGGAACACGGCCGTTGGCAGCTGAGATGATGCGGTCCGATTGTTGAGATCCCAGTAGTGTGGGCTAGCAGTTTGGTTAGGTGATGATCAGCTAGATTTGTGCTAACAGATGGGATAGCAGCACCACGTGTCAAGAGACTAATGGGAGTAGATTTGGGGCGCAGAAGGTATATAAGGGAGTCTGCGCCCCCCATGCCTAAATAGATGAACATTTGGTGAGATATACACTTACACTCAACTCTCTCCTCTCTATCTATCCCTGTGTGTGTGTGTGTGCTAATTTGATCGTCGGAGGGGTTTTCCGGCCACACACCACCGGGTAGCTCACCGCCGTTATGCTCGCAGGTTGATCGGACAGACATGAGTTTGAAAGAAAGGAGTACGGACTTGCCCGAATATTTGCTCCCCGTACACTTTTTATTCTTGAAACTTTTGATCCATGATTGTACTCATTCCTTATGCCTGTCTGTTTGGTTGCATTTTTGTTTTTGGATTTTTTTTTTGGGGTTTACGGAAACAAAAACAGTTAGAGTGTGTTTGGTAACGTTTACGTTTTCAGTTTATATTTACAAAAATTTTATAAAATGGTTTTTGTTTATTTTTAGAAAAATATAAACTACAAACGCGTTTGGTAATTGACAAAATGTTTAAAAAATTTTAAAAATATAAAAAAGAGTGAGAAATGACAAGTGGTGGCAAGTGGCGGTGGAAGACGGTGGTGAAAAGTGGAGTGTCAACGAGGAAGCGATAGCGCCCCATGTGTCGTCGACTAGTTTAGCTTGGCTGAGATGGTTAGGCAGACTGGTGTTTGATGGCTGCTCGGTCTTTGAGAGCCACAGTATTTGGTCTGTGGTCCCCTTGAACTCTGCAGGAAAAGGATGGCAAGTGTAAGCGGAAGCGCATTCGCGCAAAACGAGCTTGACTTTAGCTCGGTCATGAATAGTGCCAGACCACCTCGGTCGCAAAGGCAAGCCAAGGAGCTCGGTTGCTCAAGCGGACCTGTTGTTAGCCCGGTCGAGCGGCCAAGTCCTCTGTTTACCTCGGTTTCTACTAAGATTTTGGCAAACTTGTAAGTTGCTTAGTCTTAATGTTATTTGGGATCAAAAGAAGACCTGGAGCCCGGTCTGCTCCAAATCTTCATGTGTTCATGTGTTCATCACTGGGATTGAAGAACAACGAAGAGAATAGGGGCAAGTAAGGGTTTTTTGAGGGGTATATCCTAAAACCTATGGATTTTGTGCCCTAGAATGTGAAATACCAAGTGAAAATAGAAAAAAGGGTCCCGAAGGACTTACCAGTTAAGGGCAGAAGCTTCTCCTTCGGATACGAACTTAGGAATGGCAAGAAAGGAAGGGTACTGAAGTTCTGGAACGTCGATAGCTTGAGGAGAGTCAGTAAGATTGAAAGGAAGTGAGATATGGCATGTTTATACAGGTGAAAAGGCTGCCCAAATTTGAATGTGAAGGGACGTGATGG